GTAACCCCGGCAGGGAGAGGCGGAGGAGAGCCGCAGCCACCCGGGCGGTCCTGCTGCTGCTTGGCATAGCTGCCGGGGTTGCTGTCTGGGCACAAGCCCCAAGAAAGTGTCCGTCCCTTTTCCTCAAGCCCCCTCCACCTTCCCGGCCTAGTGTCCCGGGCGCTCCAGTGCTAAGGGGGAGCCCCGAGGCCGGGGGGCCGGGGTCGGACTTGACTTCAGAAAGCCGTGTGAGGCGGGTAGGTGGGTCTGTGTGTGTGGGGGGTGACATCTTGGCAAGCTAATCAGAAAGTGCCGTGCAGGACCCGAGCCCCGGCACGCTCACCCACCGCAGGCAGGGCCGCCTCACGCCAGCTCGGGAGACCCGGGCTCCTCTTCCCAAAACTGCCCGGGGGTGCGCACAGGGGGGCTCGCCCCGGGAGCGGGGACGGTGGGGCTCTACCATCTTTCCCTCAAAAAGGGTAGGGATATAAAAGTTTCCTCTTTGGAAACAGCACACCGAAACTAGGAGATGCAGGCTGGGCTAGGGTCGCCTTGGAATATTTTTTTCCTTTTCTTTTCCGTGGTGACAGTGACTGAAGCTAATCCGAAACGCTCCCTGCCTATTCATACACGTCTGCACATGCATGTCCGCGCTGGCCTCGTTACATTTTCCCCTTCTCCCCTCAGTAGGACTGCAGATCTACCTCGGCGAGCAACAGACAAGGTAGCATAAAAGAAAAACAACGCAGTGCAATGGATTGCTTACCAGTTTGGTTCTTGTTTTTCTTAAGACTCTTGCCACAAAGACACTGCAGCATATGCGATCCTTTGCTGAAAATGTTCCAAAGAAACCACATTGATTTGGGCGAAAAGCAATCCAGCAGCTTATACACCCTGAGAAAGAAGAGATCCTTGTGGTTGCATAATAATATATTGAGACCAGTTCTCCTGAAGAGGGGCACCAGTTTTATCATAGAAAAAATTGTTATATTCCGATCTTCTCCCAGTTTTTTTTCCTCACGTGGTATATTTCTTTGAGACTTTTCAACGGATGCTTTTTTTTCAGCCAGGCTGAATGGTTAATTTCCCCCTAGATCAACACTGGATTATAACCAAAAGCGTGGAGAGAAAATAAAAAGAAATCCCTCTTTTTTTTTTTTCCAGAGTGAAGCCAAATGAAAAGTAAGGTAGTGAAATCCCAGCCGAGGCCAAAACCTCATCAGAGACACCGGCAAAACGCGGAAGGAAGATCCCCAGAGAGAAAACCATAGCCTGGTACTTGACTGCTAGGAGGATGGGTGGATCTGCAGAACAAAAGCCACGGCAGGATCCATCCTACTGAACGACTGCCATTGTGCAGCCCCGCGGCGGGAGAGCGCACCCACCACCGGGCACCCGCC